AAAAAAACAATATATATATATATATATATATATATATATGTATATAAACATCAGATCAGAAAAGACCAATAAATATACTACATATATACATAAACCACTTTTTTTAAAAATAAAAAATAAAAAATAAATTGAACATATATTGAATATAAACGCAATATATATCCTCTATTCAAATACCGGTCGGTGCCACTTTATCGAAAAGTAAAGTGAACCACTGCACTCGAAAGCGGGGCCGCCGTTCTTCTCGTAACGCCGCCTTGGACAAACTCCGCCAATTCTCAAACACAAATAAAAGATGGATCAAAACATAAACTACGAAATAATATTCAAAAAAATAAATATATCTTTTCCTGTTTTTATTTTCTCAAAATTTGCTCTTGGACATGGAACATAATCGTCATGATTCTTTGTTTGCTTTTCTGGAGATATGAAGTTAAATTTCAAATTTCTTGTCTTTCTATTTTTCAACCAAATAGTGAAGTTATTGTTTAGGATATATATATTCTTACCATATCTATCAATTTTTCTCATTATTCAATGCACATCAGATGCGAAATTTAAGGGCCTGCGTGATAATGTTTGCAATCCGACATTAGGCAACTCTATAATTATTATATAGAAATTAAGTACAGATGCAATTATTATTGTTTTAATCGTAAAGCTGCAATCTTTTCTAAAACGCATGACATGTATGTAAATTAGTCTAGAAACTAATGGGTCTTCTATTTTAATGATGGGCTAAAATAGAGATGCCCAATGTAACTTAATGTACATAAAACGGTTGTGGTCCCTAGGTCATCGACATCGACAGATTACTTTTCTGCATCCCATCGACAAAGAGATTACGGAGAAAAGATAAAGGGTTCTCTGAAAAGGTACACAATCGTATAGACCTAGAAGGCCAAATCCCCAAATCAATCACCTATGGATTCAGGTACGCTTCCGCTATTCAGTCTCGATTCTCAATTACATCCAATCAACTTTAATTATTTTAATTAAATTTTTTTTAATATATCCACTACAACTAACCATACTATTTTTTTTTCAAACTTAACTATAATTAAAAAAAAAAAACTAATTTTTTACTAGTTGAATTCATATTCAATCACCCCCTGAACTTCAAACGGAATATATTAGCTGGAATCCATTAAAAATTTGAATAAAAAAAAAATAGCATTAGAATATTTATCGAAATTGTCGTGGAATTCCATTTAAAATATTTCCATTTGAATTTTTTTTGTTAAAATTCCATCATTTTCTTACTGTGGGCAGGTAACCGATTACCGACCAGTACATAATTAACCATTTGGTTGGTTGAAGATTCAAACCAAACATTACAGAGTAAAATAAAATAAAAAAAAAAAATAACCCAATGAACAATATTCATTTAATTTTTGAATGTTTTCCCATTAGTTATATTAGAGATGAAACTCCCCACTCGCGTGGACTTGTTTCACGTGCTTCTCATACTCATCTTCTTCTTCCTCTTCTTCTTCTTGTTCATTTTCTTCATCCTCTTCACCTCCCCATCCGAAGCCTCCCACCGGCCTCGACATGGGAGGCGCTTTTCGTGCTTCGCTCACGATTTTCATAATCGTGTCGATACTTTGAAGCGAGAAGCTCGGCTCGTCTTTCTGATAATACACCGCCTGATTTTCCTCCGTAAGTTCCTTAGGCAACTTCTTCAAAAACCACGGATGGCTCTTCATCTCCTTTACATTGATTCTCTGCATTTTTTCATTTATAATATATTCGCGCCCGTTAAAATCGAACAATGAGTTATTTAGCTGAATGTAATTGAATAAAAGTTACCTTGTGGGGATTGGCAGTGAATATGCGAGAGAGAAGGTGCCTGCAATCTTGAGATATGTAAACGTAGTCCGGGATTTTGTACTCAGCAGCCATTATTCTCTGTATAATTAAGTTGATCATAAAATTATTATTATTATTATTATTATTAGGCAAAATTGCATATTAATACACTATCTTTCAAGTTTCGCAATTTAACCACCACATTTAAAATTTTATAAATTAATACACCACCTTTACTATTTTTGTCAATCGATACATGAATGACGGTTCCGTGAACAAAAATCTAACAAAAATCTGATATGGTTAAGCCACGCCAATGCCATGTCAGATTTTTGTTGACGGAACCGTCATTCATTTATCGATTTGCAAAAATAGTAAAATTGGTGTATTCATTAGCAAAATTTCAAATGTGGTGATTAAATTGCAAAAATATGAAAGCTGGTGTATTAATATGCAATTTTGCCTTATTCTTGTTATTTTGTAGTGTATTAATTGAGGAACTAATATATATAGAATTATAGATTGTATTTTGTTTTTAATTTTTATTTTCATGCTTACTGAAATAGTTTTTCTGAAATTCTTAGGGTCATCTGGATCTTCAAAAGGGTAAGTTCCCACCAGCATCACGTATAAAGTCACTCCACAAGACCATACATCCGCCAACTTTATTTTTTTCCCAAAAAAAAAAAAAAAAGAAAATTAGAAAATTAGAAAATTAATATAATAATTCATGGATTATATAACTCATAACACATAAACATAATATTCATTGTATATAAATTATAAGTACCTTGCCGTCGTATTCTCGACGGGAGAGAACTTCCGGTGCAATGTAGGCTGGTGTGCCGACGGTAGATTTTGGTTTCGAATGCAGAACGGAAGACTGAATTATATATTTAAAAAAAAAATAATTAATTGGCCTCAAGCATAGAATTTAATTATGAATTTGAATTATAAAAATTGAGAACTTTATAAATTCTACCTACGGGAGATACAATTTAATTATGAATTTGAATTATAAAAATTGAGAACTTTATAAATTCTACCTACTGGAGATGCTACGGTCTCGCTACGGAACCATTCCGTCGGAGTTTGTAACCGTTAGATAATCATGTAACCGTTGGAGATAGTTGATCTAACGGTTACAAACTTCAGACGGAATGATTCTGTAACGAGACCACAACATTTCCTCTTAGTATGTATATGACAAAACCTTGGAGTAGCCAAAGTCGCAGATTTTGAGCCGTGGTGCCGGGCTTCCATCCAAAAGCGTGTTTTCCAATTTCAGATCTCTATGGCATATTTGCTTCACAATTTTATGCAAATTAAATAAACACGTATTAATGATAAAGAATGTGAAAAAAAAAACATAATTTAACATTATATCTTGACGATAAACTATAAATTAAAATTTAAAACAATAAGCATATATACCATGGAGTGGCAGTAACAAACTCCAGAAATCAGCTGCTGAAAGAAGTACCTAGCCTGATGATGACCCATTACATATATTTAATTGTCATGCAAATTTAATTAAATTAAAAATTCAAATAATAAATTAATATTATAAATATATTATTGGTAATTAGAGATACTTAACACTAGGAGATGTTACGAAACCATTCCGCTGGGGTTTGTAACTGTTAGATCAACTATCTCCGATGGTTACATGATAATTTAACGGTTACAAATCCCTACGGAATGGTTTCGTAATAGGATCGTAGCATTCAGGGGCGGAGTTAGAATTTTAAAATACCTGGGGCTAATGAAATTGTGATCTCCGACGTATACTTTTTCGGCTTAAATAACAAATTGATAGTCTTTCTTTTCTTCGTACCTTGACCCTAAAACCTCTCAAGTTAACAAAAAATAGTAAATTAATCAAGCATTTAGATTACATAAGCAACTAAAAAAATACAAAAAAAAAAGGTAATCAAGAACAATTTGTGGGTTTTTGTACACAATCTTATTACGAAGGCCAAGCAAGCACTCACACCTCTTAAAGCATCAAATACATGATCAACAAACATTAACACGTACAAAAAAACATTAACACATATATTTAAGCTAAAAACATGTTTCCTTATTGACCTCAAACTTAAGCATACATTTTTAAAATTAGTGACAAAACAAATAAAGCCACAGGCCCATAGCCCCACAAACCACAAATTGGGAGAAAAATCAATTAAGTTTCAATTTACATATGACAAACCACAAACCGGGACAATGATCAATTGATCAGTTTAAGGTTTCAATTTCACATACGGGAGAACAAAGAGAAACAAATTCACACCAAAATTAAATCAACCTCAGATTACAGAACAAAAATACAAACACAAATAGTTGAACGAACAAGCCACCACATCTTAATTTATAGAATTCACACACCAGACACACCACATTTCGATTCCTACACAATAAATCAAAATTAGTCAATAAGCCGTTCAAGTTCAGCCGTCTGTTACCTCGGACTCACTCTCAGTCCCGCTGACTTGCCGGCTGCTGCCCGCCGCTCGATATATAGCAACCAGCAATAAATTTTATTATCAATGTAAGGATCCATAGCATTTTCATTTCTCCATATACGACTACTTCTCATCAAAAGAATTCATACTTTAGGACCAAATCCCAATGCGAGTGTGACAAATCAGGTCACTAGATTGGGAAGAAAAGCATATGTCAAAAAAGTTGGTTCAATCTCCTTTTTTTTCATCTCATGCAACATGATCACACAGAGCACGGTACAACTTCAATCCAAAAAAAAATAGGCTACATATTATTTAAACCATTCAATAAAAACTACACACGAAATCATGATTGTGATCCAATCTAGTGTTCTTCATTTACTACTTTTTCACCCAACTATTTGAACAGGAAATATTGACAAGTAAACAACACTCCCATCAGACACCAAACTGATACATAGAAAAATTCATGTGCTGCCTTTCTCTTATATACGAAAAATCATAAACAACAGCAACAAACTCAACTGATTCAATGGCAAGGATTAACAAGTACAGTCTAGTGTTCTCAATCCAGGACCATAGACACTCAATACAATGTAGCAACACTCCCCATCAACAAAGAAACTTTTAAAATCCCATCAGAGTCCTCAAAACAGCAGCAAGCTCAAGCAATCATCTATATCTAACTCTATTAATTTAATAAATAATCAGTCCAATTAAACAAAAATTCAAAATAATCAAGTGAATGAAGAAGAGGCCCAATTTCAATTTCAATTGTAATTTCGATGTCATAATCTCCAAAATAAAAACAAAATGTTACCTTTGGAGTCGACGAGCAGGAGTTTTCTGGTAGAGAGAGCCGAGGAGCAGACACTTTGGGGGTGCCGAGAGCTGGGCGAGAGGCGAGAGGCGAGAGGCGAGAGCCGAGGAACCGGAGGATGTTCTGATAACTGAGGCTGAGGTGGAGCCGTAGAGGCGGCGCAGTTCC